ACAGCAGGTGTTGGTTTTGAATCCCGTTGGTACCAGCTGTAGACGGGCGCCATTTTGTAATAAGGTGGATATTGTGGTGTATACTGATATCCTGGAGAGAAAAAAAGGAAATAGGACTGGAATTGGCTAATCTAATTAAGCTGCCGAAGGCTGTACGGGCAGTTCTGAGTATATAACGCCATCGGTTTTACTTTAAATAATAAAACGGTGCGTGCAAGTGATTTATGTCTGTGGTTAACGAAGCCTGCAGAAATTTTTGTCCATTTCGCCATAATACAGACCTGTCGAAGGATCAACTTTAAAAGTTTACGCCTCCGCTAAGTACGTGTCTTTAATAATTTATGCAACTCAGAGAACTTTAGCTTCTGTCGGGGAAAAAAATTTTCACGATCAAAGTATCAACATCAATACACTTTAAGTCTAAATGTAATGCTATAATAACTATAATAATAATAATGATAATAATAATATAATAATGCTATAACCATACAACAGCTTCAACTTTGTCATGAATTCAGTTCTTGACACAAATTTCACAGTTCCCTTTTCGTAACGGTTCAATAACCTCGCGTGGTTAAGTTGTCTACACTTGCCCTTAGCTTTGATGATTAAAGCTGAATATGGGATTTCTTACTGGGAAAAAAAGGTCATCTCACCTCCATAGGTTCCATAGTTTTGTCCGTTGGCCAAAGTGAAGACAGCAAGCAATGAAATGGTCCATAATATTCCTCCCATGCTACCGTGAGGAATACCCGGAAGTTTAAATTCCCGTACTTCTCAGAGAATGGTATTAAATTTGCTTTGTCTTCCTGGAAAAGTTAGAAAGGATAAGGTCTCTTGTCAAACTTACATTTCCGTCTTGGGTATTTCAACGTTTGCTGGAACAATGTAATCATGAATCATGGACGGACGCCATTTTGAGTTTATCATCTCGATATTGTTGTAGGCATGACCTTGCTTCGGCCACCTGTTGGCGGGAAAAACTGCCACCCTGCGCAGTTAAGCGGGTATCGCTTTTACTTACTTTTCTCTCAACAGTTTGGGCTTAAAATAAAACTGCAGGACAATTTATCAGAACTGTTGCATGAATAGAGTCTTACATCGCCCCACTTATAAATAAACCTATAAAGTATAGCAAATACCACTATTTCTAACCAATGTTTTCATCTTATCATGGCTGTTTATAGAGGCGGTGATGGAATCTACAGGAAAAATGACTTTGCCCAACAGAATCATCTAATACGTTTTAAACAACGTATAAATGACTTCAGTACCCTAGTGTGGCCTTTGACAGATAGACTTGTCTGATAACAAATTAAACATAATTTTTGTTTGCCTTACACGAAATAATCAGGGGACCCCCTCAAGTGACATAACTTCCTGGTTTTCTATTAAGGAAAGAAAACATCGTGTAATTTACAAAGTCAACTACTTCGATAAAACTTCATCGACCCCTCAATGCCAGAGTTGTTGAACAAATGTTTATCACAACTCCTCATTCATTTCAGTAAGGTCGAATTATGTCGTACCTGCAGTTACGTTGCTATCAAAGAAATACCACCGTAAGTCAAATGTCGACCAGTTCAATCAGTTGAAATTTTTCTCGTCATCAACTTCTTTTATGAAGTCCGTCTTTTCCACAAGGCAGACCAAAATCAATGAAAATTTCTTCTTTGCCACACTCGTGGGAAAATTCAAGCTTGTGCTTACGGTAAAGTGTTTTGGTTACAAGTTGTCCAAACAGAGCATTCTAGATGACTCTTGCTGTTATTTGACTGGTTGACCCTGACTTGTTTTGGTAGGAAAGCGACAAACTCGCACAACATAACAAAGGAGTTCAATATTAAAAACGCCACAATTTATGCAATAGATGGTTTTAGCCTTAGAGTGCGATCGTTTAGGTGCCGGCCTGTGAGAGCGAATTTGAAGCGAGGGTGCCTTTAGGCCGGATTGTTCGTATTGTATTTTAATGAGCCGTCGGTGACTCTGGTGGCATCTTCCCCCGGAGAATTTTCGAGATTTAACTCGCCTCTTTCGTTCTTCTTTTCCGCCATTTTTCACATTTTGGACTCTCTTCCAAAGATATACCTTCTCACTTTGAGGTTACCTAAAAGCTAGCTTTTTTTTTTTGGTTCATCATTGTCGTAAATATTAAGCACAATGAAACCTGCGCGTTTGTCGTCTTTGATGTCATCCAAAAAGCTGGGGAAGCATGGGCTGCCACGGACCACCCTGTTCTTATGAGTATCGGGTGAGAGGTTGCCCTGAAAAGGACCAACTGATATCAGTGACAGTATCTGGGGGATTTCTTTCGGAAGTCATTGAGAGGTGAAAAGGTTTTTGTCTGTGACATGTTTAAGACTGATTCGTGACTACCCCTGAAGTGATCAAATTTAGGAAACTCAAATAAAGAGAAAATGGATAAAGGGGGTAAGTTGGCCATCGTAAAGAGTTTAAAAGCTGGAGTTTCGAGCGTTATCCCTTCATCATTGCTTCGGCGAAGGGTTGACGGTTGGTCGTGGTGCAAACCTAATGATAACCACAGAAAATGTTGATGTGAAAAGTACAAACTATATGCTTGTGGGGTTGGATCTTTTAACTGTGGAGTCATTTTCTTTGATTAAGAGGAATTTCGGGCTTCCTTGCAAATAACTTTGAAAAATTTGTTGGAAGCATTTGAAAAAAAGGAGCCGAGTTCATGGGCAAGTACCGCTCCCCAATCCCCAGCTCTAGGTATACGATTCTTTAAATTTATTTTATTTCTTATGTTCAACAAGAAGGCTAAGATTCTTGCACCCGGCATTTCTTTATCTGCATTGTCTCCTCTGCACTCACATTATCAGTGTTCGTGTTTGTGGGATTTTCTTGCCCGCTTCTTTTGGTGTATCTTTGAGCGTGGCGCCAAGTAATGCAGAATCGACCTTTTCTCCGCTGTACAGTCCTTGGCCTTATCAAAGGAGCCTTTAGGTACGTTTTCAGCGTAATCTCCCACCATGTTTCCAGCGGGTCTGTAGCGACCTACAATGTAAGAACATTTCATTCCATTCTTATCTATGTCTGCTTTTCCAATTCCGAGCTCGACGCTTTCCTTCCAAATAACTTGGGTAAAGTGGCCCGTTCCTCCCGTACCACTTGGTTGGCCAAATGCGTAACCATATTTACAGACTTCGTTGTACCTTTGCATAAAAACATAGATAAGAAAAAGAAAAGGAATACTGATCAGCGCCGGTGTGTGAAAAGTCTAATTTTCTTGTATGCCTTTTATAGCATTTCTACTGGTACGGAAGACTACTCAAGAAAAAATACTGCACGTATGAAAAATGATTTTTTTTCCCATGATCTCGTCAACTGATCAATCCATTGATCATGAATGACTAATATAATCTGATTGACTGACTTTTTGACAAACTGACACACTGGCTGACCGATAGACCATCATACTGTCTCAGAGCTAGCTGACTTACTGAACGACTGATTCACTACCCTTTAAACCAACCGGCGATTTCTTTCAAAGAGTCTTCTGACCAGTCCGGCCGTACAACCGGATAACACACCCACTGATTTCCGGAATTTGCAAAGGAATTAACCGAAAAATCAACATACAGGCTTACATATTGGAAAATGCTTTTTTTTTTTACCAATTCGTAGTAGCTTCAGCTGTTGTTTGACCATTACTATCGCAACCCATGGACAGATTTTCCCCGTCATTGTTTCGTTCTGCTCGTGAGGCGTGGTTCAGTGCACCCATCTGCGCAATTTTTTGGGCATATGCTGCTGCTTGCTGGCTCATCTCAGCATTAAGCTTCATTTCTGGAACACCGTGCCTTCTTCGATATTCGTTATGTTTGCTCAATGCTTGTTCTTCGTCTACTCCTTAAAAGCATCAGAAAGTAACGCTCTGAGTTGTACCTTTGGGCAGAAAGTACGGAATAGAAAGGGATTCTCCGTAGTTTGCATTCACTTATTATTTATGCGTTTGTTTTTCTGGTAATCTTCATATTCATTTTTATTGTTATGCTTTCATATCTCCCCTCTTGGTACCTCTCTGGAAGATGAAGAGACACTTTGGAAACGTAGAAGCTCCGAATCTTTCATGTTTACTGAGGCTTTACTGCCTCAGGAAGGATGTTTATGAATATTGGATAAAAAGGTTTGGTAAAATTTAGTACAAATACACTTCTCCCTTTTAGGGTTTGGGTGTTTTCGTTTTATTGTTTGAAGCCGGAAATGAACTAGAACGATACATTACCGAGGGCCCTCAATATTAGAGAAAAATAAGCAGAGGTTAAAAAAAGAATACCCGTTTACCTCCACCACCACCACCTGCTGGTGTTGTGGCAGCTCCTCCTCCAGCTGTAGGTCCAGTGCTTCCTTTTGTGGGTACTACTCCTCCTTCTCCTCCAGTCGGTGCAGCACCACCGAGCGTGGTGCCACCCGGTGTGCTGCTACCCGGTGTAACGCCACCAGGGGCTGTACTTCCACTGGTAGGAGGTACCTGAGTTGGTTTACTTGGTTTAATTGGTTTAGTTGGTTTAGTTTGTGAGCAAGGTATAGGACAAAGCGCTGGCTTCGGGCTTCCTGGTCCTCCACCGGCGCCAGGACTTACTGTGGGTCCTCCGCCGCCTGTACCTGGTCCACCGCCTGCCCCAGGACTTGTGGTGGGTCCTCCGCCGCCTGCACCTGGTCCACCGCCTGCTCCAGGACTTGTAGTAGGTCCTCCGCCGCCTGTACCTGGTCCACCGCCTGGCCCAGGTCCTCCAGATGCTCCAGGCGCTTTGTTCGATATTTTCAGACTGAGATCGACATCGACACCATCCGGTTCAAACTCATACGTACCAGCGCCTACGAAATGGAGGAATATTTTTTTCATTATGTTTACATGACTTGGTGCGCATAACTCATCTAAGACTCTCGATAGAAACTGAAGCACGTTTAATTTTATCATATTAATTTTTTTTCGACAAGCGCTGAGACATTTTGCTATTGCACTGCGTACATACCGACAACGTTTCCATCTTCGATTTTAAAAGCTCCTGTTTTTGGCGCTCCTCCATTGCCGGTTGGAGTGTCCCCTAGAGGCAGACCAACTGCAGCGAAGTGCACGGGTCGAAAACCAAGATTCTCTCTTTTCTCGTTTTTTGAGGCGTCGTAAGCGTAAACCTGAACTAAAAATGGAAAAACGTGCAAAAAAAAAAAACTGGGTGAGTTCATAGGGGATTAGGTTTTGATTTGACCAAAGAAACACCAACGATTGTAAGAATTTCCATTAAGTTTTAAGATAGACATTGTAAGGACTCACAAAAAGTTGCAGATATGGTTTAGCATATGTGCAACCGGCTGAGTCACAATTTAACACAAGCACGACAAAAACATATAGACGATGGCATGGTCAGAGTGTAAGTAGTGCACACAACCTCAGTTATGAATGTTTAGAAAGTACCTTACTTTTAACAAGAACTGGCGAGTTCTTAAGGAAATAGGTAAAACCAGAGTAATCAAAAGACGTTTAACGGCAACAAAAGTTTACTTATGAAGTGTTTTGGAAGGCTATGAAGGTCGATAAGCGTACTAGTTAGAAACAAATGAGACTTTTAAACTGCTTTACATTGTTAAAAGACTTCGTCGAGACCCAAAATTAGAGCCACAGTCGTATATCATAACTATTGCTTCATCAAACTTTCGATTTATTGTTTAGAGTAGCTAGTATTGAATTACATACCTAGGAGGAAGGGAAGCACACAGACGTTGAGACTCCAAGCTTTCATACCCTCAATTGTCGAAGATCAAATTTCAATGTTCACCTCTTGACTTGTTCAAGTGTCACACTCAGAACAAAGCCTTTGAAACGAATGGAAATTTCACGGTGTCAATCTTACTACATCAAAAGTAAAAGAAACGAAAACTGCATCGTTTTCATCGAAGTAATATCATTATCAAGCGAGATGTAAACACTAGAAGAATCACTTAGTCGTCAAAGCAATGTAACACGATATGTATCGTTTAAATGGCGTACATGCTATGAAGAATTCCTAACTTTCGTCTCTAAAATGTTTGGTGAAAAATGTGCACGCATACCTCTTTGTCCGCGACTCAAAACAACCTGCTACCTGAGATTTTTCCTTTTCCTGCTAAATTTCTTATTTCTTTTATTTGAAATCTGTTATATGTATCTCCGTGCACTGTTTTCACAGGTATTCACCTGTTTAAGATAAAGAGTTCAAATTCAAGAGCTTCTCATGAGAGTGTGAAGATATCCGTGAAAAAGTAATGAAAAATTTATGATCCAAATACCTCTCATGGTCTACTTGACAACGCTCTGGGTCCTGTGTGTTTGTAATTCTTCTATTTTGGGCCCAAACGCCGGTGGTGCTTTTGTGTGATTATTCCATAAGATTACACCTCTCCTCTGCAATGTTTTGTCTCTAGTCTTTCCACCAATTTTTGTTTTGCTTTTAAAACGCACGAGTCGTCTTCATCCTCCATTTCATCTATTACTGTATGCCACTCCGGAAATATTGAAGAGACTAATGCAGTGGGCAAAGGTTACGACCGCAGTGGATATCTTTCTAGAACAATGCGTTGCGACTGTGGGATCAGATTCACTATTTCATAGCTTGAGGCTGAGTAGAACAAACGTGATATGACCTCTGCTTAAAATATTTTTAACTTATGAGGTTTTATGAATTGAAGGGATGTCCTTATCTACCGAGTGAAGGAGAAATTTAATATGCGAAACCGCCGTCAACTAAAAAGTCAATCGCAAAATTAAAACCTTGTAAACTAGGCTTTTTTGTAATAGCTACTGACTACTAATAGATACTGACAAGATTGTTTTTATAAAAAGAAGTTTTCTATGTTATTTACGGTTAGCAATATGTTATTACAGGAAAAACAAATCTAAATACACTCGTCTATTGCATAGATACTCACAAAGTCAGTGAGAATGTTTTTAGCAAGAAAATTTTCATCAGTTAAAGAAAACTAAAGTATCATCAAAGAAAATCAGAGGTAGAAAAGCATACATTTTACAACAGAAAATTTGATCTTGAATATCATGTTATGGCATAGGATCATTTAGTTCCTTTCTGAAACTGAATTTCACTTCAGGTTTTCACGGCGACGTGGTGGAATTACATCAGAAAAAAATGTCTTCATGTTTCATCATTGAATGCGACTCGTGGAAAATAAAATTATAATGGTCCGAAGTTGTAGCACATCCCTGAAAGGACAACCTTTATTTGCGAACCTATGTCCTGGCTCTTCAAAGAGCTCTGTATACCCCAGCCCTCGACCATCAGTGCGAGGTGAGAATCAGATGTTTCCATTCTCCTACGCTTATAACTGAACGAAGATGAAAGTGGTATCAGGGTTTGCATGTTAGATTCCTTCTGACCTAGGCCTCGGATTAGGATGAGGTGATAGGTTGGTCATAGCTTACCGCAATCAATCGAAAAATTGATCAGTTACTAAGTACTTTGCTAAATTACACCATAAGTAAATTTTCAAGGGGCTCATAGCATTAATTTTAGGTCAGTAATAAACATTTTTGCTAAAATAGGATGTACAACGGATCCCGGACCAAAGATTTCGCTGAGTTATCCCTCTACTATATTTTTATTATTTTCATTTTTATCTATTCTTTTTTTTTTATTTGTCTTTATTTAGTACTTTATGTTATCTTGTTCAATTTTTATTACTTATGCATCAAATCTTCCCTCTGAATTTGGGAGTAAAATATATAGTGAGAGTTTCTGTTCATCATCCACCATAATTCTCAATTAAACTTGGACTTTGAAATCTCTTGAAACCATATCCTCCTTCTAAACCAGCTTTCGGGATATTTCGGCAGTAAGTTTCATCAAAAGTTCCTTTCTCGACATTTTTTACGTAGGCATCATCACCACTCTCAAAGTTTCCTAGAGGCTTATAGCGTGCGACAATAAACGTGCATGTTTCTCCATTAGGTTGCTTTTTTGACGCTTTTCCTATTCCCAGCTCCCTGCTGTCTTTCCAGACCAACTGCGTGAAATGATTGGTACCCGACTGTGGACCTTCTTTGCCAAATGTGTAATGGCACACTTCGTCAAACCTGCATCAGAGCAATCCAGAAGCAAACTTATTTAGATACGTATAGTATAACCTCTTCTTGGGTTGAAGAAATGTCTGCAGATAGCAAGAAATAAATGCTTCATTCTCTAAAAGCAGAGATTAGCCTCCTAGTCAAGCGTTAAAATTATACAACTCGAGTCTTGTTGTAAAACATTTGAAGAGAAGGATGGAGAAAAATTTGAAAAGATAAAAAGGTATAACAGTACATTGTATATGACATTATACATCACATCTGAGTCGAGTCTATTTTGAATGATAGATCATTCATTCAATGGGATTTTCAGGTGGGAGGCGATGGCGGTGGAGTGCTGTGTGAGATCCAAATCCGAGAGAGGTTCGGCCTCGAATCCGGTAGTTCAAATGAGTTCTTCTTCGGCGGGACGGATTTTTCCTCAAAGTCTAGTCCCTCGTCTCTCCCTTCCCCCCTCCCCTCCCCAGCAATGATTAACTATCGGTGGCTATCTGCGAGCTGTCCAAGAAACCCAACAAAATACTGAGACTAATCTCTACCTATAAAAATTAGACGCACATACCATGTTTTTATTGCTTCCTCAGCAGTCTGCTCTCCGCTGCCATGGCAACCAAGAGAAAGATTTTCGCCTTGATTAGGTCTTTCAGTATATCCAGACTGCACCAGAGTGTCCATATCTGCCAGTGTGCGGGCGTAATCTGCTGCATTTTTACTCATGTCACAACTCAGTGTAAGCGCAGGCGCACGGTGCATTGTTCGGTATCTGTTGTGTATACTCAACGCTTCTTGTTCAAACGGGGAATCTGATAACATATCAAGGATATGGGAAAAAGAACATGATAAAAATTTTTGTTTCCTGGAGAAAACTCGTAGTGAACAACCATGCCATTTTATATTATTTCATTGATAACATAAGGATGCCCACCGACCTAAGCCGCGCAGTTTTCAAGAAGGAGGACTTTATTTAGTATATACCACTAATTGCTATCGTGCATTGCAAAGGGTTGAGCTGTGAAGAAACATTGTACTTACGAATGCAATTTGTTGTAGTCGGCCTTGGTTGGTTTGGCTGTGGTGGTCGCTGTTTTCGTAGATTCGGTTTTGGGTTGTGTTGCTGTTCTTGCTTATACTGCTGCTGATATCGATGTTTTCCGTTTATTTTAAGATTCAGTTTTAGTTCAAAGTCATTTTGGTCAGGTGAAATGGCATATTCGCCTTTTCCATTTACCCTTCCGTCAGAAATTTGAAAACTTCCTACCTCCTCAGGACGTTCTTTAGAGTTAAGTGTTTCATGTCTTGCCTGGTTTGAATTCTTGAATTCAGAAGTTTATGGAGCCACTCGTGAATAAATTTTTTCCGAGTAGAGAAAAGCTTTATGAAAGCATTAGGGGCTCTCCAAGGTATACTAATAGGTTTTTTGGCGTTTTTGTGGTCAAAAGATTTTCCATTTGAAGTCAATTGCTCGAAGACATCCAAGCCTTTTAGAAGATGAGACACTGAAGGGATCTCCCATACACTCTGTTCACTCGGTTGGCGAGATTTATCAATTCCAGTGTTCTGGCTATAGGAATGTGCATATCCTGCGAGTCGAACAATTAATTTCTTAAGTACAAATACATTCTAAATTGGCCTTCCTTTCGATTGATAATTATCACTATTATCTATCGTTATTTTTGCTATATTCTAATGATAATTTCCGAAAGGAATTTAGGAACACATTAAGGTGGATACGATTTAGGAATTGACAGATCATTTAGGGCAGCTCAGACTACTTCGAAGCACAAAATTCTCTTCCTGAGTCGACCGGTCCGGCAAAAAACTGCTGATTGAAGGTTTGCGTCCTAGACAAAGTGTAATGTTATTGTACTGCGACCAAAAGCTTTCAAAATACGATTTGTAAGATTACTATTTGATGCTACTAGCGTTAACAAACAAGCCGTAAGGAGTATAACTGTTAATTGCCGTTAGCTGGTGTGAATATGAATTGATATAATCTTGTTTCCTCTACCTGCTTGCAGACTTACCCGCCAGCAAAAAGTTCAAAAGACAAAGCAACACTGTTCTAGTCCGGAATGTCAAACGTGTCTTCATACTAAATAACTTGAGGGTTTTTATCTTGGTGTCCCATTTTATCAGTAACTCGCATCACGCTTCTAGTTTCCTTCACTTACAATCAAACTTAATATCACACTACGCCATGTTATTTTTTTTTCGTCTCTTAATCTTTGGATTTAAAGTTTCCCCATCCTTTCCCTAAGGCTACTCACTGAGTCAACTAGCCTTGAAAAATGCACAGCGGGTGTCTGAGATCTTGAACAATTAAGTACTAGTTAAGTACGAGTTGACAACTGGTAGTCCTGAGGAAGCAATTCTTACCATTTCATGCTTCGACAGATATCATTATTTCTTTAAGAAACTGTTCCGATGAAACACGAAATGGTTAGGTTTTCCGGCAAATCTGGCTACTGCTCCAGGTCCTACAAGAATTGTTTCTCTCAAATCGAACGAGCTAAAAACCAGGATAGCTGTTACTCGAGAGAATTCCAGTCTTCCACTTTTTAACTTGACATACATCAGTCTGTTCTTATCCTTCTAAATTCCTGCATTTTCATTTTTTTTCTTTTTGAACAACTGCACTTGTAATAACCGATAAGATACCACTTGTAAAATCACTCACGAACTCTTGGAGGTACTTTACCGATGTAGATTTAAAAGAGACATCGTCAAGTAAAAAAAAAAGGTAAAGCTGAAATAAAATGATATAAATAGCTGGCTTACATAGTCAAATTAACGTGGCTTCGCTATAACTTAATTTTAAATGCGGGCAATTAACAATTGTATGACTTCGACTTTCAGCTGTCGTTGTTTAATTTTCTTTTGATACCATATGAAAAATCGCGATTTTAATCAATCTGCTCGGAAAACTTTGCGAACAAAAGTGGTCTATTCCTTGTGTAGTCGCTAACTTTTCATTTCTCTGATAATTTCAGTTCGTTGCTTGCGCAAACAGTTCAGAGATACCTGTCAACTTGTAACTGTCTGTCTTTCTCTATATCTGTCGTTAACGCCTAGATCTTTCAAATTATCATGATGAAACTAAACCTCTTAATAACCAGAGAATGAAATCAAATGAAATTAAAAAAAAAAAGTATAAGATAATTTATCTTCAACGTGAAATTTACTCGAGTTTATGTTTTCCATTTAGTGATGTAATGGTAAAATACAGATTCGAAAGCTCATTTTCTTTCTCTGTCTACCACTTGAAGTTAAGACTGCAGGCATTTTTGGTCGAGTGTGGACGGCCACCGTCGATAACTGCGGCTAGATGCCTAGCTGCTAGGCTAGGTTGTTAATGGCCTAAATGTCTGCCAGTCAGAAATTAACAGAACGTCTACAGAATGTATCAGGTGTTATTTTGAAATGTCAAGCGAATCCAGACTAATTTTATTGGCTAATGAGTTGCAGAAATTTTCGGTATTCACGGTCTCGCTATAAACCTAGTTATTAACAGCCCAGTTCTTCATAGAAAGCCTTTGTTGTTCGATAGTAAAGCATCCTGGTGCGGAATATATAGTTCTGCAGTTCATCTCCTCGTAAGGACTAAAATTTCCTTCTTTGTCTGAAGCTGTTATAAGACCGAAAACGACATCTTTAATTTCTCCAAATCTGACTTGATTACCAATTTGTAACTAGTAACTACTGTTAATGAAAATCTTCACTCGCTAGCTGGTACAGACTGTTAACGGAAAATATCTTTATTAGCATACTTACACTTTATCACCTAGTCTTAATATGAATGAAAACCAGAATAAAAGAGTTCGTTCATTATTACTGGTTTTTCATCATTGTGGGGCTTTGACAGCCCTCATATACGAGGTTCTCACCTTACTTTACTTTAACTTTACTTTGAGTTATCTCAAAACATTATAATAGTCTGTTGCTCTTTCTCAAATGAGACACATTATAGTGTCTGCACTTTTCTTTAACTTTTAGGTACCAACGTGTCTTATAGAAGCTTTTTATCGCGTAATTTATCGCAATAACTTGGATCAAATGTTCCTTTGAAGACGTTCCTCCTGTACTCTCCCTTGTAATTTCCAGAGGGCTTGAAGCGTCCCACAACGAAAACGCACGGCATTCCGTTCTGGTACCCAGCTGCCTTTCCAATCCCGAATTCATGACTATCAGCCCAGACAACCTGCGTGAAATGACCTGAAGACATACTGAACTCTCCTCGGTCAAAGTCGTATGAGCACACCTCATTATACCTAAATAGGGAAAAAAAGAAACAACTCTGTCTTGAGGAACTAACTCACATAGGCACACGCATACAGGTTCACTACTAGTACATGTTGAGGTCACATAAGGGCATGCGAGGAGCATTTCCTTTATACATCTCCTTTTATTAAAAGGGCAATTTAAACTCTTCTTGGATAACACCAAGTAATCCGTATGCTTTGAAAAGGAAAATGTCACTGAATCGGGTGGCTAAAATCTAGCCTTGCTGGTAATCTCATGTGAAAGATAAATATATTACATAGTTTTCATTTTTTTCTTTTTTTCAATTTTTACTTTGTAAATTACCATCGCCAAACAAAGACATTTTCGTAAGTATAAAATTATGTTTTGGGGAAAAAGTTACACTTTCTACGGGCTTGGCCTTGTTTACTTTTTTCTTGGAAGAGAAAAGGACTAAACGTGATAGAAACTTTGTTTTCCCTCAGTCTTCTTCAAACATGTCGAAGATTAGGTATTTGATAGTAGTATGGATATGTCTTAAAAATCGCCATCTTGACTTCGTTTGAATGTCTTTACTATCTGAGTCAGCTGGGGAAGACTTTTGTAGTGAGTGATATCAATGCGATTCAGTACAATTCTCTGAACTTTTGCTTATTCTGAAGTGACCAGGCCATGTTTACTTGTCAAGACTTCGTCCATCATTGGTAAAGTACTCTAACACATGAGTCTGCCATCGATAAGAAAGGGCATATAAGTTTTCCAATTCCTAGTATTGACCTCACCAGTTTGTTATGGCCTCCTTGGCGGTTAGAGGGACTCCATACTCCTTACAGCCCATTGCAAGATTCTCTCCTTCGTCACTTTGTCTTACGGCATCGTAGTCATGCTGAAGCGAGCCCATTCCGGCAATCTTTTCGGCATACTTCTTTGCTTCCAGATTAAGCTTCGGGTCGAGCTTAATCGGAAGGGCGCGGTGTATTTTACGGAACGCGTTGGTCGTGCCAACTGCTTCCATTTCAAACTCCTCATCACCTAATAACGTGACGGTAACATTAATCGCTTAAAGCCGTTTTTTTTTCGACCATTTCACTCCCAAGATCTAAATATTGACTCTTCACACTGTTCTCCATACATTCCTTATCATCATTATCATGATGGTCATTTAAACAATATCCCCTACATAATATTTTTATCACTCATGAACTTTCTGCTTGGTGCATGATTTTGTGCGTCATGCATTGATGTTGTGAAATGAATTTCATTTTTTGGTCACTCCAAAGAGGTAAAGGTTTCAATATTTAAGCTTTTTAACTCTCCTCTTTTCGCGCTAGCTCAAATTTTACATTTACCGATCTATAGACAGTTTATACTGGAGAAGACTTTTCCAAAAATGTTAGTATGCGAGAAACTCTGGTACGGGAGTAACTTTTTTTACAGATTGAGCCTCGCCGTTAAAAATATCTTGATAGAGCAATAAATATCGTTTGCACTTACTTTGCGTTTGTATCTCCTTGTTGCTTTTGCCAGTCTCAGAAACGGAGGCATTGACAGCTGTAGGCTGTTGAGTGGAACTTTCCTTGGGACCAACTTTAGAAGCATCGCCAGGTTGTGGCTTCTTAGCTGCCTCGTCCGAGCCACCTTTGCTAACCTCAGGTCTGTGAAATTCCCCTGAACATGCAACTGATGTGACTAAAGCACCATTGGCACCCTTTATAGTCTTCCAGTGACAGTTGGGCCCAAGGCCTTCATTGAGCCCAAGTTTCTTGTCTTTCTCTGCTATTTGATTGTTGGAATCCACTCCTTTGTTGCCAACTGTCCCATTTCCGGCATTTCGAACTCCAGGCACGTTGAAAGGAAAATTTCCATTGCTTGGTTTCTTATCTTGTGCTTCAGGCTTCACGTCCGCAGCAGTAGTTGTGGTTGTTTTGCTTCCTTTGTTCCCGTCATTATCAGGACTTGAAAGGTCAGTGCTCTGGCTACTGGGCGAAATGTTGACAACTTGTACGGAAGCATTCTCACCAACGGGTTTTCCTTGCTCGGCACTAGCTGCTGGTTTGTTTTCTAAACCAATCACTACTCCGCTTGACGCATTTGTTTTACCAGGCGTTTTTAATGTAAGGGATATTGCTGGGGTATTGGATTGTGTCCCATTTTCCTTCTTTCCTTCATCCTTCCCTATGTTCAGACTTTCTTTAATCTTTTTTGCCAATTCTTGGACAAATTCTGGGGAAGGCTTAGACGATTCTGTTGATTCTTGAGTGCTATTTCCATTTCTTTCGGCAGTTCCAGTTAGACCGCCTGATTCTTGCTTTTGCTGCTCGTTGGGTTCTTGCTTGCTAGCTAGAGTTTCTTGTCCCTGTGCCTTGGCGAGTGTCTGGTTTGCAGCCGTTTTGTTCCCTCGAGTCATCTGCGGTACTTTCTGATCTTTTGCTTCTTGTACAGAATCCGTTGGGGCATTAGCTTTGCTATCACTAGCGGGCGATCGCTCGTGAAACAGAGGACTACCACTGACGAGAACAAAGTCTTGGACAGGACTTGGGACAGTTTCTCTCTGCGCACCAGCTGCTGCTGTATGTTTCAATGCAATGTGTCTTCCATGAGTCCAGTGGCGGAGATTCATTTGATGTCCTGTGTGTCTGTCACCATGCAAAGCGTTGTTATTCTGGTGTCCTTTGTTAGGTTCGCTGAACACTTTTATTACTGAGAATAAAAAATAAAAACGATGAAAAGTTACGTCTCCCCAAAATAATTCTAAGGCATTACTTGACACAACTCACTCCTCATTCCATAATTCATGTATCGTACCCTTACTAATTACTCATATGGGTACGAAAATACTCCTATCAACTCCTAGTGAAGCTTCAGAGGTTGTAACTCAGTATCTGTCCTATGTATTTGAGTATTCTTCCAAACTCTCGGATTGCTTTTGTGCAACGCAAGGCACTTCTATTCATTTATAAGATACAAAAGATCTGGAAGGAAATGATTTCGCTCCGATTTTCGATTAAACCAAATGCAATGATGCAAACTTACCGCATTGCAAAAGTATAATAGTTGCTAAGGACCACAAACAGCTCATTTCGTTCTACCTTCGGAGAGAAAGTGTACAAGTGATTTGATATCATCTCAGTTAGATTGGCGATCGATTGCTGAGATTTTGAAGCTCTTTCTATTGCCACACGAGAGGAAGTGGTTCCTTGAATTTTGAGGCCAAAAAGAGAGAGAGAAATAGCGAACCACAATCCAAATTCCCAAAGAACTTATAATTTTTTGATTCCGTAATAATAATATGAAAAATCGGAAATAGTCATATCGTAATAATGAAAGCAGGAAGGATGCTACCAACCTATCCTGGTCACAAAGTGAACAACGTCCTGTTTAGACTAAGATTCACGGATGAAAAAGACGGATCAGTTTCCCTTCGCCCTGTATTTTTCCAATATTTCCTTCCAAAAGCTACTCGTCTGAGGAAACAACACCATAAAATATGTATTGACCGGGAAATATACTTATTGACAGCATGACTGAAAAAAAATTACCTCATGTGCTGGTCACCGAAATGCTGGTATGTCAAGGACTTTTCAACGCATGAATTCTTCTCCATTTTTCCTTTTTTTTTCCTTTGGGGTAATTTTAAGATTTGAAATAAAACCTGCTGTGCAGAAATGAGCCTTACTTGTAACTCCAGCCTGGAAGTCGCTATCCAAACTAAAATTTGAACCTGTTGCATCTGATGTAACACTCGTTCAATCCTTCTCACCTCCTAATTCACCTTTATTTCTTAGCAAACTCTGCGAGAGCTTCTCCCCATCGATTTGATTCGATTGGGTCAAGAAGTGGGCCCGAAAACCATTCCAAATGAAATGGAATCCAAGCTTAATTTAGTGCGTGAAATTTCGGTTTAGTTGGAGAAAGTATCGTTCAAACAAAAAGTCTTTGGATACTTACCTTGCAGCGCACAAACCGGTTTTCTTTTATACCGTTTTTAAGAGTGTGCTTTTGGGGTTTAAACCAGAGACGCCCAAATAGAACAAACTATTTGATATCTTAGTGATAACCCTGTTTTCAGTCTTGAATTATCTTACTCCAGTGGATCTTACAATCATTGGTCCCCTGATCTTCATGTAATTACCTTAACCCTTTAACCCCCATGAGTGATCAACAATATCCATACAATTTCAAGCAGATAAGTGATTGACAACGAAGAGAAATATCAATTAGGAGAATACAAGCTGATCCAATACCAAATTCTCTAAACTAACATCATAAGAATTTTGTGACAGATAGTAAGGAGAATTCCTGATGAAATCGTGGGAGTAAAAGGGTTAATGACTTTACCGACGGTACCAGTCGAGGTGTCAGGAATGAGTGATAAAAACGCATTGACAACAAATAAAATTCAACAGAAAGTTTCTAAAAGTATTAAGTCATTAGATAACAATGAAAGAACTTAAGGGATTATTTGCTTTCGTTATGTCTACACCCAAAATATTTAGAAAACCAGGAAATAAGATTTCATAAGGCTAAAAAGCATGCATTAAATGTTACTAACTGACGTATGAAAGCGATCTTTTTTCGTCAAAGAAAGAAAAATTTGTATTTTATCGGGTGCGGTGTGCACTTTGAAAGAGAAAAATCCTAAATAACAATTTTCAACATTATACTAACTTGATAAAAAGGAATAGATCTATCCTCGTTGCCTATTCCTTGATTATAACTAAAATGATTAAAAGCCTTGATCGTAACTTGTTTCTTCCTTCAGTAGCCAACATTCAAATGCAGACCTACAGTGTAGGCCAAGCATAGAGCAAAGCAGTGTAACAGACCAGTGCCAAACTAACAGTATACCTGGTCCATTAGGAAAGAAGAGACAAAGGAGGGTAGTGGACCGTTCAATCTTCGGTAAGAATTGATTTTAAACGCTGAAGAAGGAGATCGAGTTCAGGTCTACCGAACCATTAAATTTTACGTGACGAGTGGAGGTCAATGATGGCGAAATTTTATCGCAAACTGTCAACACTTGGCTTAGTACATTAGGAAGAAAGTGGAAACTTCAACCTTTGGTACTGAATGATTTTCAACAAAATCATCGTTTATTTATCTATAAACATAACTCCTCTATTTCTTATTTTTAAGCTTTTTCTCGTTTAGAGGACTCTTAACACACTTGTAGAATATTCAGAACTAAATGAATGTTTCATTGCCGGTGCTTTAAAGTACGCATAAAAACAAACAGAGAAACACGTAGCTGTTATTCAGAGGAAAAGAAATCTAAATTTCATGCTTTATGCTTATGAAGCACATGGCGGGGATCATGAGTAACGAAATTTCGAAAAGCGCTTTCAAGCTACCGCCATGCCTACCACGATACTTCTCATTCAAGTTTTTGGTCAGTGTTTTATACTTAGGGCAGGAAAGGAAAAAATCTGCAGAAGAATTCCATTTAAATCTCCACGGTGTAATCAGCTCTTTTTCCAATCTCCTGCTTGTTCAAACCTCTTAGAGGCCACTTTTATACATTATTACAATATCCTTCGTTAAAGTTTCCTCTCATCACTTGATCCTGAAATTCTCCCATCATGTTACCCGCGATGTCATAACGACCAACCACGTAGATGCATTGCATTCCATTCTGGGTGGCCTTTCCTTGTCCGATTCCAAGTTTAACGCTGTCCTTCCATACCACCTGAGTGAAGTGACCTGTTCCAGAGCTGAATCCTCCCGAAACAAAGTTGTAGCCAGGTTTGCATACTTCATCGTACCTGTACAGCACACAACAAATTATCACGTTAAAGGGAGTATCATTCGACTTAAAAGCAATCACCATTGCTCTTGTAGCATATACATTTAAAAGGCTTTCAAAACGATACCAGTACCATTTAAGCTTTAGCTTACCCTCTCAAAAACGATTAATAAATAACCTCTCGCACGAGTTGAAAATCCAGCTTTCGCTTTTGTGCTTTCAGTGTGATCACTTACCACATTTTGGTCGCAGATTCTCCAGTCAGCGGGGTACCGTTTGACGCACAGGCGTAGGCCAAGTTCTCCCCCACATTTCCTCTTTCTCCAGAAGATGAGTGCAGCAGCTGACCCATGTTTGCAATTTTTTGGGCATACGCCTTAGCTTGGTTACTGAGATCTCGATCCAAGGTCATCTCTTCGACTCCATGTACCTTTCGATATTTATTATGCGTATTCAACGCTTCTTGCTCAAACTCTGAATCAGCTGTGAATAGAAATTACAAATAAATTCTCCGTTTTTTGTCTCTTTTCATCTTTCCCATCTACTATCTTTTTATCATTATTTGCAAAAATCAAAGTTTGGACGGCTTTCATCCTTGCCCAAGCCAGATATGACATAGATTTCAAGCTGTCTTAAGAGAATTTCCCTCTTTCAGTTTTTAAATAAGTTTTTTAATCCGATTTTCTCAACGTCACAATTAAAGTTAATGCTTACGCTGTGGCTCGTTAGAATCAACACTGCTGCCACCAAGGGCGCCGCCACCTCCACTCGGTGGGCTGGGGCTGGGGCTAGGGTACGATTCAGGTTGGGGACGTTGCCTAGAACCTGGCCAAGGTCTCTGTCCCGAAGATGTTTGAGAACTTGGGCGACGGCTTGGCTTTCTTTGCCATCTCCAAGGATATCTTCTTCCTCCATTCACATCAACGTCCGTTTCTGGATTACTCTCTATTCTATGGTCTTCCTTCATTACTTTGCTCGAAGAATGTTCTGCCTGTCCATTATTTCCAGCACTATTTATTTCCGGATAGTGGGCTACTTTTCTACTGTTTAAAAGTGGAATACCTTTTGCCATTTTCAAGAAGTACACTATCCTCTGATTCCCATTTTCCTGTTTACTTCCCTTCGACTTGTTGTTTTGAATCTCATGAGAGGTCCTCTGATTGTGGGTTTTAGCGCCATAAAACGGCATCAGCACTTTTCCCTCGTCAACTTCTTTAGATTGGTCTGCCTTAGGAATCTCACCACCCTCCTCTGGGTTCCCAACTTTTATTTGAAATTGCTTATCATGTAGTGCATTTTGATCTAATGAGTTTATGGAGCTGTCAGTTTCTCCATTAGTACCTACAGTCTCGTTTTCAGAGCCTATAACCACAGGGTTTGTGCTTTTTTCTCCTTCCTGTTCGGAGAAACCTTGGGAGAAAGATTCTTCATGTTCTGGCTCATGTGATGTCTGTTGGTCTGTTAGGGTTTCTGTGTAGCTGCCCCTTGAAAGTTCTACTCTAGCTGGTGATATTGATTCTTCTGGTTGCTGCGCTTGTCCATTTGCAAAGTCAACATTACTATTGCCAAAAGTTTCTTGCTTTTGTGTTTCGATGTTTGTGGGTGAAAGAGAGTTGTCTTCATTTGTTTCAACTCGGCTAGGCACGTTTTCTGAAAAATTTGAATTGTCACTTATTTCAGAATTCACTCCAGGTTCTCGTTCGTTACCGCTTGGCGGGGACTCCAATCGCTGCGTTCCTTGAATGGATTCTTTATCAGGGACTGGATTTGCTGAAGATTCTTCAGTGTATCTATCTTGATGCCCAACGTTCTCATGGTGGCTATAACGGGATAAATTATCACTTTTTTCATCTGTGGGTGAAGATGCTTCGACTGACTGGTCTCTTGAGTCTATATGACCAAAGTTTTTCAGGTGAACACCCCCACCATGTTGGGGATGCCCATGAATTTCTTTGTAGTATTCCTGTTCGTTTGATATTCTTTGTTGCGACCTATACGAGTGGTCGTTAGGTTTGTTATTTGAACCAGGATCACGTGTAACACTACCACTTTGTAAAGTGTCCGTATGTTCATCGGGTTTTTGCTGTGTTTCTTCGCTATTAGTGCCTGTATTTTCATAATTAGTGGTCGTGTCCACAGCTTTCCCTGAAAGTTGGTAATGCGATGTTTCCTTTTGGTTTGTTGCTTCGGCCTCATTAATGTCAGTTGGCAATTCCTCAGCCGACGGCTGGCCTTGATCTTTTGATAGCATCTCATGCTCGAGATTACTAGTTGCCGCATTATTTTCCTCTCCCTTTGAAATTGGTGGCATTGTCTCTGTGTCTTCATTTTGAAATGGTTGCCCTCCTTCTCTGTACAAAATTTTACTAGATCCATAGTTAGCATCAGGTTCCTGTTTAGCAGTAGTCTTTGATTCTTCTGTGCCCTCCTTCTCCTTTTGTGAGCTTGCATCGTTGGTAAATGGTTCATCTTGTTTTGGTTTTTGATCGACTGCAATCCCTGAGAACGGGCGATTTGGTGTGGCGTGTAGTGATTCCTCTTCATTTTGGATATTGTTAAGTGATTTATCTGTAACAGTCTCAGAGGAGGTTGGTGACTGTTGATTTTCGGCTTCTGGTAATTTCTCGTTTTCTTGACTTTGAGAAGCTGGATTGTGTCCTTCACGATATGGCAGGGAGGGTGTTGTTTCGCCTTCCTCTGAGTCTCCATTGGAAAATATAGCATGCTCACCAGACTGCAATGGTATGTCATTGGTTTGTTTTTCAGGTGATGGTTTCCTAAGAAGCGATTGGCCAGTTTGCTCGTCTGATGGCCCCATAACTATCCTGTGAGTAAGTTCTTCGTCAAATGCGCTTTCGATTATCTTATGCGGCCGAAGTTGATTAACCAAGCTTCCAAATCCAGGAGATCCTTGGCTTGATGTTGAACCCTCTATATGCATTGTGAAGGAATCATTTGATTTTAAGTAAGGTGTTTTTCTGACCTTATAAGCATTGTGATATTCTTTATTATCAGATTCACTTCCATCTTTTAAGTAAGACGCAATGTGCTGGCCATAATTGTGACTGTGCTGATGATATCTTGGGTGTTGTTGTGGGGGTGTATTTTCAGCTTGAGAAATTCCTTCGTTAATCTTGAAACTGTTTGACAAAGCATTTCTTGATTCCTCTAAAGGAACTGCACCTGTCTCCTTTTCGAGACGCTCCACACCACTCAGCGATGGTTCCGTAAGAGTGTTGTGCGAAGAATATTCTGTTTGTTTGTCATGCGTCCTCCAGTACTCAGAAGATCCAGTAATTGCGTTTGGGTTATATCCGCGGTGTCCTTCTACATCGTGGTTTCCTTGCCGTCCGTTGTGTAAAACACTAGACCCTAACAGGTGTGATTCTTCATCATACGCTTTGATATAGGTTTTATCAGGTATTTTGTTGTTCACTGTTATCTCCTCAACAGATGGATTGCTTTTTAAAGCATCGGGCGGAAAATTCTCCTGGGTCTCCCCTGTCACTAAGATTTGGTGCACTCGCTCCACGGGGTGATCATTCACTCCCGTTTTGCCAGGTCGTTCGCGTTCATATTGGTAACTCTTCGTTGGATTAGAAGACGATCGGTCGACAGAGGAAGGACTTCCCTCAAGTTTTACGATTTGTGAAGAGGTGTCTACCGTTTGATCAATTTTTGTGTGTTTTGTGGGTTCTGGGACTTTATTATCTATTTTAGATGGTAACACATCAAAAGAGGGTCGTGGTTTCAGTAATTGATGTTGTTCGCCCTTCTCATTTGCATGAACACCCTTTCCCCTATCGCTAGATAGATGGCTCTCCTTTGCTATATCATGAGCAGCAAATCCCCAGACGCCGTGTCCTGCGTGATATTCTTTTAACACGTGGTCATTTCCTTCTCCTTCGTTATTGCCGTTCTGATCGACATTTAGCTTTGCGGAAGCTTGACTCTCATAGCTATTGACATGCTTGTTGCTTACTTTCCCTGTATGTTCAGTGCTGCTCCCTCTTTGAGATGTTTGGGTCTTACCCGATTCGGTAAATGGGACTCCGTTTAACAGAGGAGCTCCTGTGAACAGTGCCTCGGTGTAGCTATATCCACGATCAGAAGGGGATCCCTTCAAAGACGATTGCAGAGTTGCTGCAAGGCCTGCTTTCTGTTTGTTATAATGATGAAGGTCTTCCTTATTTGGATCGTCCTTATGCTTTTCTGGCTCGCCTTGCTTAGAGGAAAGGATCATCCCTAGTCCCTTGTGGTGTTGAACATCCTCTACGGGGCTTCCCATAAGTAACAAGTAGTGTGATCTTTGTTTCGGAATGGACTCCTTTTTGTTGTGCTTCTTCCTTAGGGACTTTGTGAACGTTTCTTGAGCTGTTATGGGAAAACGAAGATCGAAATTAATTAAAAAATAAAGAGGGAAAGCTGCTTTAAGACATTGAAAAAATTCAAATCATTATTGCTAAAGAAAGTTGAAATAACAAAATTATTATTCCATCTATTTTCGATATTAACGTTTTCGATAAACTCACCAAAAATAAAAATTGTAATGGCACAGATAATCTTCAGTTGACGCATCATGATAGCCTTACTGCAAAGAAAAAAGGGTCATAAAGCATGGTTTACAATAAAATTTTTTGTAATATCTTAAGGAGCCTTTTCAAATACAAGCTACTTACCATTTGAAGTTGGCGAGAGACCACAGTGTATTACGAATTTATCATCGGGAGAACCTTTGGTACCCTAAATCTACCTGGTTCGTGTTTTAGCAAAACTATTTCTTGGCTGCTTCAAAGAAAATTTAAACAAAACACCTAAAATTGTCGAGCAACAGATAAAGGCAAACAAAGTGAACGTCCTCAAAGCCTATTACTTCATATTTTGTTTACGCTCAAGGCAGGTAAGGTCAAAAAACTCGAGAGTGCTTTTAACCTTAACATCTGGCTGGTTCCAATTTTCTCTAATCTTGCATATCTTTGTTAAACGAACAGTGTCCAGAATTGTTTATTTGATTGGCAAGGAAGGCTTTAAATCTACATTAACCTTGTGTAAGGTCTAATGGTAAAGGAAACTAAAATTGCAATCAGTGAGCTGATAGTGAAGTCCAACGTTTCAATGCTATTTTGTCTAAAAACAGCGCTTTTCTCTAATCAGATAATGAGTTTAGAATACCACTCCAACGAAAATTTGCCCCAGAATCAGTTCGACGAAAACACTATCACTGATAATAACTGTAGCAGTAAAATCTGGCATCAATTTTATATGAGTCTGTGTACGTTCCAATATGGAACGTAGCTAAGAAAGCCTTCGCTGTTTCCTCAACATTCAGATCTAGGATAAGGTAGAAAATTTGTCTGATTGATCTGTTTCAGTTAAACTTAGTTGAGCAACAGTCGAGATTACAATAAATCTCTCTTTACACGGCCGATGGGATCATCGGCAAAATGATTAATGTCAATAGAAACTGATTTTTTCAAGCGTAATTTCCTCTTGAATCGGTTGACGACTGATTAATTGAGTGATAGAGTCGAAGGTTAATAACGTGTGCACAACTGACTGAAGCCAAAAACAGGTTATTAATCAACCGAAGAAGATCTTTCACTTGGCCTCAAGATTAACTAATTATGTATTTTATGTAGATGTAATTAATATAATGTCTATAGAACATCTGTCAAATTTGCTGAAAGTGGCTCGCAATTTGTATTATTTTTATCTAATTGCCATATCATGAGTATAAATACAAGGCAACAAGAAAAACAAACAAAAACAAACCAGGAGAAAGAGCCCAAGAAAGAACACAAACACAAGAATTGGTATTTCAATTTTATTTATAAGGAAAACCCAATCTTCCTTTTCAACACCAAAGAAGTTGGCTCTCTTATTCTCAGCATCACTTAATTCTTCGAGCTTCCGCCGGAAATCTAACAAGAAGATAAGGGAGCATTAGATAAGTCGTCAACTATAACTCTTACCTCTCACACTTTCACACACTTCACTCTTCTTTTTTAGATTATCAATATTACATTGGCGATATAGGCCTGCTTGGTAGAGACATTTCCAGAACCCTTTCCAAGAGTAAAACCTGTGCCCTTCCAACAGTTTTTACGCATGCTCTACCACTGAGGTGTGATTCATGTTACTGGCATGCCTACCGCACGCGTAAATTCGTCAATGCTTTTGCGTTGTAACGGAAATCTTTGTGGTACATGTAGTTGAAGATTCGTTTCCGTTAAGAATGATGGTGATCAGGTTTCAGAATCCACACTTAATATCATGAAAAATGAACGTTTGGGAAAGAAGAATATCTTCGTGTGAACTACAACTGATATTAAAAAGGAACGTGTTACTGATGCCAGCGACCAAAATAATACTTTACAAACCTAGCCCATAGTATAACTTTCAATCCAGTTTCTGTACTTGCTCACTCTGGCATTGACAGAGTAATGTCCCGGATGACAACCACCTGTACCCCAACTGACCACACCCTGTAGGTACCATCTGCCGGTCCAATCCTTACATACAATTGGTCCACCACTGTCAGTGTTGCATGTGCTGATGGGACTAGAGCCACCATGACCTGTACAGAACATGGCGTCTGTCACAGGGATACCAGCGTCTTTGTTATCTCTCTCGCATTCTGACTGGCTCACTGTAGGGAGCATGGCCTGTTTGAGGATATCTGCTTGACTGGACCAGTCCTCGGGAATTGTCAAGCCCCAACCTCGGGTGAACAAACACACAAACAAGAAAAACAATGGAACAGCTTTCAAAATGTCCCAGGACCCTAACACTTCTGATAAAAGGTACTTTTCAATTTTAACATCATGATAACAAGGGGTGATCAACGGTTACCAATCAAAAGTAAGACTTTTCTTCTCACAATTTATTCTAAGGAGTTGAACGAAGTTTTTGTGATTAACTTTCACTTCTCTATTTGAAACGATTTCGCTGTGAGAAAACGGGGAGGGGGTAGAGATACCGAACAAGCTGTAAAACCATGTTTCATTCCTTTACGAATTGAAAGAGCTGGTCAATCAGGATAACACGTCGGAAGCGTTTGTCAGCAAGGGGTTAAAATTGCTCTATTTTCTCGCCTTTGACCATAAGGATACCAACACTGAGAGTATCCAATTCTGAACTTTTTCTTAACGTCATTTTCTTTGATAATGAAGAATTACTGCAATTGGAATCACTTGGAAGAAATTAATAAAATCCACTCGCTCCACTCCTGTAAATAATTACCTGTGGCATAGCATCTTTTTCTAGCCGGGATGTTGTAGCCTTGATTAGGAAGGCAGATCAAGCTGACTTGTTCATTCAGTACAGCGGGACGGTTCAGTCTTATTAATGCTGATTGAGCCGGAAAAGATAGAAACAATGTAAATCTCGTTGTTATTGATAGCCTTGTTGAGGTATTCGGTTTAACCTGGTATTTTCTGGGTTTCAATCTTAAAACAAGATTCTCCTAATTCACAGCTTTGAAAGACCTTCGCTAAATCTTATGTTAACTCCGCCGATGTCTATTTACTTAAGCAATTTTAGTTCTGGGATAGGATTATTGGTTTCTCATGGAGCTCGAAGAGTTCCATGGAAATACTCTAACGAAACTGAAAGATGATCTTAGTGTAAAAGGATCGGGTTATCTACTCCAAAACAAAAGAAAATCAATTAATGTTCTCTTGCTCCAAAACTCGTTTGTTTATTTTTCGTAATCATTTAGTTCCTATTTCTTCACTTGAATGTTCTTACTTTCAGTAATTGCACGCTGCTAAACACCGAGTCAATCTATCACTTTCCCGTTTGTCCAATTCCCATACACTGTATTTCATTGTTCTTTGTTCGTTTTCAGAGCGTGACTTGCAATGGTATCAGCCTCTTACTACAGTTATCAATCAGTAACCTTGAATTACTGAATACTTATCTATTTGGCCTTACCAATATCATTGTTCACAATCGAAGGCTTATTATAAAGTGGGTGTACCACTATATTCGCCACATCGAACACTTGTTCATAACCCTCTCGTGTGCTCCTTCGGTGTTCGCCGAGAGTTATCCGAAAATCCCTGTAATTCTGAGGTTTCTTCGCATGATCCACGCAATGGGCCGCTGTTACGATCCACTGTGGGCTAACTAGGGCACCTCCACAATGATGGCCGCCAAGATAATTAATTTGAACCATCCAAGGCCATGAATTAGGGGCTGCATTATAACCACTGATGATTCTTGTTTGCGGGCGAATTCCACAGGTTGCTGAAAAAGATGGGATAAAGCTATGATACACGCTTAAAAAAATTAGGTGTTATTCTGATACAAAAGCATCTCAAATAAGAACACTTTAATTTTTAAGTGGAGTGTTGAAAGTGATCTGGGAAAGACAATTGTAGGCATTTGGAGAAAAATTTTGGCTAACAAATATTAATTTGCATCACCCTATAACTCTTTGCCATAGTATATTTTTTCGGAGTTGAATTACTGAAATTAAATTACGTACCTTCAGTGCTGGTAAGAAGCCCTGAGGAACAAGATATATGTAAGGTTAAAATCAATGTTCACAAATTAGAGTGATGGTAAAAACTGCAAAAGCAAAATGTGAAAAATCCACATTACCTGTGCTATAAAGCAATACAATAACACCAACAGAAGTGAACATTCTTCACGTCTGCCTTGTTTCAGCGATCTCTGCAAAACTGATTCCGACGCCCTTTTGTATAATGATGCTAATTTGGAAAGCTCTTATTTTTGAAAATGATTGTCATGGTTTAAACAGCTTTTAGACTGTTAAAATAGGTTGCCAAAACTATTTTATTAGATTCTTTGTTGGAACGATAAAAAGTAATTAAAGGTAGCGATCTTCTGGCATTTTAAAATGACAAGAAAATTCATTCTCACGTTTGTGTCATTCACAGAGGACAATCTGAATGTAGATTGAAACATACACTTGCTCATATGCTATCAAATTTTCTCGGCTTGATGGGTAACCACTATTTTTTTGAGTATGGGGCTTCGCTGCACGATCGAGCGCTTCGCGCGCGCTGCGAGCTCCGCTATAAAGGCCAAGTATATAGGCCAAGTGTATGGGCCAAGTATTTGGGCCAAGTTCTCCTCGGCTTAACTGATAGAACATCCCTCAGTAAAAGCAGAACAGACCAAGATTCAAATCCTTATAGGGCTTCAGATTCTCCCGCCTCTTCCCAAACTTAAATAACATGGCTGAAATTTATTCCTCGTGGCCGGGGGAACTCAGATTTTTCTTTTGTCCTACGCTCATCACAAGACAAGTAACATCTTTCTCATGACTCTAGTTCATTCCTCAACTTTTTTTATTCTATTCAATTGTATGACACCTCCGACATTGCGGATCTTTGCTGTATTCATGAGGCGTAACACTAACGAACTTTAAAATGACGCAGCTCTACAAGATATTACTAACTCTGTGGTGGAACATCGGAGCGTGGAATTCGGGCACCTTTGATCTTACTCCTCATTAAACAATCACGGTCTTTTTTAATTAACACAACAGGTCAATACGGCGAAATTACAAGTATGCTATGTGAGTAATTATCTTTTTTTATATCTAATTTAGACGCCTGAACTTTTATAGGAAAATGGTAAACACACTCTGATTTCATTTTCGGGTTTGTTTGTTTTACATCTTGATCAAAGGTCAATACAGGGGGGAAATCTGCTCAGTTCCAATAAAAAAGACAAAGCCATTTTATTGCACAACGTTTTCGTGCTCTTCAATGTTTCTTCAAACGCA